TACAAACTCTCTGAGGTTAGCCAACTGAAAACATCCGATTATTCATTCATATATGCCATTTTTGTCATTCACGCTGTGAGCACACTCTGGAATCCGGCTAAGCATCGTATTCTGGAATTAAACTGCGTGGCTCACCTCGTGAAATAAAGCACAGTAACCCTCTCAGAGTGCCTAAGAAAATGGCCCCCTGTACTCGATAAATACTTGTTGATAAATCGGGTGATGGAGTTTTAGTGTGTCAGCTGGCTTTTAGAAATTAGTCCGATAGCGATAAAACCAGATAATTTGATGAGAACAATGAAGGCATGCGCGCAAATATGGGCAGATATATGCGAGGGGTCAAAATTCATCGCGTGTCCTCCTGCAGACGAGCAGATACTCTGAGTGGTGACCTGTGCTCAGGATTACCACAAGAACCGGATATTAAAAAGCGTCCAGTCCACTTGACGTATCTTGATTATTCAGCTTCGGGGCAGTGATTTGTGTGAACACCGCCAAAATGAGCAATGTTTTTGGAAGAGGAGCAGGGGCCAAATAACCCTTACGATTAACACACTACTGAGGCATGTGAAAGGATTTAGCTGTGGAATATACTTGACGATTGATGTCACATTCAACCGACTAACGATATGTTGGTCAATCCGGTGAAAATAACGCCGATGTTACTTTTGTGACGAATGCACGGTCACGAAGCGCAGTGCCCGGCCAAATATGGCGAGATGGTTTTTTAAGGGAGGGTTGCAGGATTTCATTGTGTGACATCAACCTTTATTGCGTCCAAATAGTTCAAGCTCGAAAGAGTTCATTGGTTATATTTTCAGGTGAATGATGAGCTTGTCGATTATTTTTGAGTTGTAATGTTACCAATCAAAGATATAGAATCAGTGCGCTGTTCCATTCATCTATAGGTTCTTTCTCTAATTTGGTGTCCTGACAATGTGCATGGTGATATTTGAGAAAGCCTCGGAGCCCGACTGATTAGCTTCTCCGGAGAGTTTTCATCAAAATCTAAATCATCATAGTATTCAAAAGAATCTTATGTTAATGAAAATAGACGGTTTTAGATGAATTAAAGAGACTTCAGGCTGTCTTGAATGTGAATCATTTTTTCGTAATCGAACTGACTTGGGTGTACGCCAGTGATGGCTGAGGTACAGAAGAATCATGAGTTTTGGGAAGGAGATCCGCCGCCTTGGAAAAGAGAACGTCAGTCACTTTACTAGAGGGAGAGCTGTCATGATAGATGTCGCTGGTATCACACAAAGCTACTATGAAGGAAACATGTGTGGCGAGTGTGTTTGTCCCCAACGGTAAAACCCGTAAACCACAGTTGGCGATTTCCGCTCAGCACAGTTTATTCTCCATGGTTGGCCAGTAGCTGGAACCCCGTTCAGCACAAGCATAACACCTAGCCTATGAACCAGCTTGTTCTTTGAAGCTGATAATGAAATATCATTTCTCGCCACAAGCATCAACAGCTAACTAAGACTTTGAGTTAGATCGTTGGTAGAGTATCCTAGAAGGCCCATTTTCGAGCACCGCGGAAACATCTCAGCCTACGTGCGTATTACCCATTTCTCGCCACAAGCATCAACATACTGCTAAGACTTTGAGTTAGATCGTTGGTAGAGTATCCCAGAAGGCCCATTTTCGAGCACCGCGGAAACATCTCAGCCTACGTACAAGCGTATTACCCATGAATAACAGTACTTTCTTGCCGCGTCAGTGGCAGCCTAATGACATCAACCCGATGGATCCACTTTCTGAATGCGGCACGTTGTGTAGGAGAAAATAGGCTATCGGTGACCAGACCATTCTATCTTATCCACACATTTTCCTTCTATTATATCTATTGTAATTCATTCCTCTGCGGACGCCTTGATGGTCATCAATAATTTACCTCAGCGTAACTCACACCCTTTTGATAGTAACGCATTCAAGCAACTGCAACTACAAGCTGTCCTTGCTCTTAAACCCGGTCATCTTGATATGCAAGTGATCTGTGTATCAGATTCCATGAGACGGTTAAGCCGATTCTCATTGATTTCCAACTGCGCAACTCTGCAGTCCACAGTTTACTGTGCTAGAATGTGTCTGGTTTGATGTTGTCACAAACTGGAGAAATCCTTGTTTCAGTGGACACATTACGAGAGTTGCTGTGCACATACTTGAAGGAATCCAAAAGCACAAAGTAATCCCGGTCCGTTTGTCGTTCCCGCTTATTGCACAAACAACCAGGTCGGCAAAATTAAGGACAAGTTCATTGAGAAATCTGTGAGCTGGGTCCTCAGATATGGCGTTTTTCTCCAAAACCCGACGAAAAAATCGGACGGTATTACCTCAAACACGTAAATTGGCCATCAGTTACCGGTGGCGCGGATCACCATTAGATTACCTCTCGTCTTATAATACTTGCGGATTCCGGCCAAGCGCTCATCTGGATTCTGTTTTCCAGTCGCTTTACATGTATTGTGCGGGAAGCTTTCATAGCATTTGTTAGACTGCTAACGTTGAAAGGATATATGAAACTCACCTCTCCGACCAGTGCAACCTCATGGAGCATGTAGCGAAACGGGACCACCATATTGTGCAAACTGATTACATGAAAATCGTACTCATTTTGCACGACGTGCCGCGGCCTGTGATGTACTGCACAGTGGTCAATTTGACTCACCCCGCAGCACGACTCTTCGCGTCATTCCTCCTCCAGTGGGCTACTGAAGCCCATGGAAGTCTTCCTGAAAAGATGCGGAATGGATTCCGCAAGGTAATATTTGGGTTCATTCATTGGTGTTTTCTGAAATTATTTTGCTTCTATTCGTACAGTAAGTATTTTGCCAATTGCATAAATGTTCTTCATTTGATTAGATGAAAACTGCAAAAAGGCGCACTCCCAAAATTTCACGCAAAACAAAAAGTTGGTCATGTGCGTCGATCCTCGGTTCCGAGTTCCTTCGCGCTTACACCGGCCGTTCGCCAGTCTCACGTTTCAACTTTGATATCAAAACATTTCAGACTATCTTCAGAAACTATTTAATGCAGGAGCTGTCCAGAAGAAGACCCTTGGACAACCATGATTGTGTTACCGTTTTTCGCCGACCTAAGCTAAGGAGAACAATTTCCAGTGAGTCTGTTTCATCTGACCTCTTTACTAGCGTGTGCTGAATCTAGCGTCATTATTTTTATTATTCCGCCACAAAGTTCTGGTAAAGTAACCTTTTGTGTGGACAGCCCAATACAGATATGATGAGCCCGAGTGTTTTCAGATAATTCGTTCGAATTTTCCTATCAAATCAACGTAATTTTTTTCCTTTTGCCCATCCATTTTGGCGGCACGCTCTGAGTCATGAGGTTTACTCGAGGAGCGAATTATCATATGTTTACTATACTGTAATCCCCGCAATCCCACAGTGTGGTTTCACCGGTTCAAGGCTGCTTTTACTGCTCGGAGAAGTACTACTCAAGCCGTCTGCTTTTCCTGTGTCGTCCAGCATCAACCGGCGCAATCCCACAGTGTGGTTTCACCGGTTCGAGGCTGCTTTTGCTGCTCGGAGTAGCACTACTCAAGCCGTCCGCTTTTCCTGTGTCGTCCAACATCACCCGACTGATCAAGCAACAGAAGTAGAAGATCTGTTGGAAGGAAACTTACTTTGATGTTCTTCGAGCGGATGCCATCACTAGGCAGGAAAGTCCGAAAACAAGATGCTACATGATTTTCTCACCACAGTCGAAGTTGGTGACAGGTCGCCGTCACAACTGCTTGTACATATACGACCGCAACCTGGCGGTGGTAATCATGGCACAATTATGGCTCGACAAATTCCCACCCTCAATGTCTCGCGTCATTAGTGCTTTCGTCGATGAATATAGCTTGCGGCAGCTAGTTGAAATGGCGGACAAAATCCATAAGACCTACTCCAGTTAGCCTGTTAACTCTGTCTCCCACCGTACACTCACTACTACCACAGATTTAGATCCAATATTTTGTGCCTTCTCACATACAGACTACATTTGATTACTTGACCGCCTGTCTTAAACGTCTCGGGACGAACAGGCAATGACCACGTTCAAAAACTTGATCATTTTCTCGTCCACGCCCCCTTTGGTGATGATATCACCAAAGTTTCGCTCCCAAAGCACGCCAAGGCCAACCGCCGTGTTCTTCAAGCCGTGTCTCAACAGCCCTCTGAACGCCTCAGCCAGTCAGTAACGGCGACGACTCTTTGCGGCCCTCCTCGCACTAGTCGCCCATTCCACATCACCGATCGCTCAAGGAGTCCAAAATTCTTCGTAGATACCGAAGCTGAAGGTGGTGTAATAACATGAATCTGCTTCCTTATTATGCTTCTTATTCGTTACACACCGCCAACGGTTCGCGCATCGATGCATATGCCAAACGTTCCCCGGTGCTCCACCTCGGATTGTGACGTGGCCGACGTCCAAACACCCATCCTTTGCGCAGACATTACGACTCGCTACAACTTCCGCGTCGACGTTCGACACAAACGTCTCTTGAGTATGCTGCCTTCTTTCTCAGTCAACGGAATCGGTACCCCACATCCATCCACAAACTCGAGTTCTTTGTTATGTGGGGATTAATTAGGGCTAAGTGATGTCTCGTGTATATCCTGCCATATTGATGTATGGTTTGGCCACTTAAGTCCCGCGCTGACATACTGACAGGACAAAGCGCATGATGCAAATCACACTTCCCCAGCACAAGTTCGCCAAACGAAGGCGAAACTTTGACATTGGGTCTCATCTATCGCTGGGTGGGATCCGCCGTCTTATATTGAATACACAACGGAAACCGCTAGAGCATATATGCATAATTGAGATTATAGGGATAGACGGTCCGCGCTATAATGTCGTGTAGACTGATTTCCGTTATAGACGAGGGCTGCGGACATGTTTGAACATTTTTTCATGGAGCACCGTAATGACAAACCGCGAACGGGACGATTGCAGTGATCTGGCTACGCCAAAAGTTACTTGGCCAGGAGTGTGTGCCGAAGTAATAAGAATAACAACGCTAGATTCAGTATACACTAATAAATAGGTCAGATGGAACAGACTCGCTGGCAATTGTTCCACTTGAAATAGTTTCTCCTTGGCCCAGGTCGGCGAACAATCAATAACCCAATCAAGGGTCTGCTTCTGAACAGCACCTACATGAAATAAATACCGAAGAAGGTCCGAAATGTTCCGACAATAGAGCTAACACACGAGACTCGTGGATGGCCGCTTTAAGCGCAAGCGAAATAAGAACCGAGGGTAGAAGCACGTGACCAAGTTTTTGTGTTGCGAGTACCCCTGTTTGCAGTTTTTCCTATTGAAACGAAAAACATTTATGCAATTGCAAAGTAATATTGGCAAAGTAATTAATGTATAAATGGAAGCAAAATAGAGGTGCAAACGCCAGGTTGCTGCTCCTGTAGAGCGTTGACCGCGATAAGGAAATACGCTTGAATAATGAAGGTATACAATTGAAATTTCTCACTTCAATTGGCGTGAGCGATATCTTGCTTGACTCTTTCGGAGGCCGTAGTAGCGTTGGGGACAAGGTGATATACTTTTCTTTGAAGCCAAGTAAATCGGTAATTGAGTGCAATATATCTGCACAATGAGTGTTGTGTTTCCGATAAGACGACGAATTCGGGTGATAGTAATGCGTATGGGAATGATTCTAGGGCAAGAATGCGATCGGACAATGGTGAATTAGCATGAAACTGTAGGTTCATGCAGTGATTTCCGCTGCGTAGGCGTCACTAGACTGAATCTGCTCTAGTACGTGTCATATTTTATCGCCACGGACAGAGTGGCCTTAAGTGCCTCAAATATTTTAAGCCATAAATTTGTCCGCACATCAAAGGCCCAATTGGTCTCGAATTGGCCGAGCGCTGGGTAAGTGTCTAACTGCTGAAAAGGACATGAGATATCCGTTCAATTAGAAATTTTCCTTCAGTTACCAGGCGAGCATTATGATCGGTCAACGACTGGAAAATATTCCGGTGACAGTCATCAGTGGTGGTCGTTATCGTTTCGACGTTGCCTGCAAAACCAATACAGTGAACTTTATAACACAGTGGCTCTAGTAAGACCCAGCATAACACCGTTGATTAGCCATAGCCTAATTAAATTCTACCAAATTATTTGTCCTACAACCTAATAAATTCGACGAAAAACCTGACAAAACGAAAACAAACGTAAAGCAGGATATAAGGGCTAATTTGAACTCCGCACCGCAATTTATTCGTGCATCCAGACCCAATGATTTTGACAAACTGAATGAATTACCTTGAGTTACACACCACCGTACCACAAAGTCAGCAAATACAAGTATGTAAAGGCGGCGTCAATCGCAATTTCAAAAAGGCGCACGTCAAGCTCAATTCAATGGCCACATGAGATTTAAGTTTTGCGCCAATGTGAAGAGTAAATCAAGCGGCGGCCGAAAATCATTGTGCGGTTACACAGTTTACCACAAAATCATAAGGTTTTGACTTCAAAATTTGGCCAGTTTCGGCGACCCGGGTACCGAGCAAAATGCGTGGAGATTTTATCATTCGCACCAGCGCTTTTTCTTCTTAATCCTTTGAGCGCGCTCGTTTTGTTACTGAAATTTTGAAGACTGTATGCAGAGTGCAATTCGCAGCTGTTCTGATAATATTCCCGTGAACACCTGATCAATAATGAACACGCGTACAATACAGCGGACGCCGAGAATATCAGCGAAACCTGCTGACTCTTCGAAAGACAGATATTCGTGATGGTGCGCATGGAGAATTCGGGTGACACTTGATGCTAATTTTATATCCTTCATAATGTATCCAATTCAAACTACACTCTGGCGGTGAAAAACTGATAATTGTCATACAGCAACCAAGCCCTGAAATAGTCCAGCGAGGCTACATGAAATTCGGTTTCCAGACTGGGATTCCTGGACATCACCTAACCGAATCATCCCACGCAGGCATTTACCTCTGACTGCTTAGCGGTGATAAATGTCTATGACTCACGGGCACATTTCATATTTCATGTGATTCGACAAGTAAATTTGTACCATTACTTCTTCAACACACTTTGCGTCCCTACAAATAAAACTGTCCGGACCAATTATTCAAGCTTCATAAAGGTGCTATTTTGAGTTGTTGATGGCTTCAGTGGATTGCACCGCAGCTGGAATCCTGAGCCCCTTCCGAGTTTCCTCCATTCGGCCTTTTGGTTGCTCGTAAGGCAGCAAACGCGACTGTGCCTTACAAGCTTTATTTGTGCGTGGCCTCGAAGTCTGGCTGCAGCAATTGAGGGATGAGGCGTATTCAGGTGCTTATGCATCGTTGCCCCAGGAACCTGTCGAAGAATGGCTGGAGCCAATAAGGACGGGATATAGTATTCAGTAAGTAACTTTTTACGAAACGAGCGATACTTCACCAAAATGCATCATGCAGCACCGAGGGCTAACCGTGGCTTGCAGGGTGCTTGGACGCTAAGTCGTCGCCGGTTGAGGGAAGCAGGGTGCCCGTTATGTTAACCAGAATTTTTGACATTCGTTACAGAATTTGATATGGTGGAATCCAGCGATCAACTTTCGCTGCATATGGAGCGAGCATTTTTATGCCTACGCACTTAGTGTATTGCAAAAAATAAATCAAGGACTTGGTCAAGAAACACTCATATGACAGCTCCAAAAGAAGAGGAGAATAAATATGAATGTGAGGATAATTCCAACTTGGTCGGCACGAATATTAAATATCATAGAAATTGACGTTTCATCGTCGTTGAGCGAATTCATTTGTATGTTTGGAAGCAATAACCAGCTGTTGGGGTGAATATGGGCTTCTTAAATTAATTTTCGAAATCAACGTGTACTTGGACCACTTAAGAAAGAAGCCCGTTCCATATCTCCGAACAAAACATAGCTAGTCTGAGGAAACACAAAACCGTCATGCGTGGTCCGGGTTGAAGCCAGGAACTCTCAATCTACTGCAGTGAAACCATGGCATGAATAGTCATATTTCACATCCTCTGGAGCATTCTTCTTCCGCTTTATCAGTTGCGGAGTTGAACAACCTCTTTTCGGAATACGCCCTCGTATGAAAGTCAATGCTGTTTCACAAATGTCTGTAGCGCCATATTTTTTCTATAGTTGATTTTTACTCTAGTTATTGGAGTTCAAGGGTTTTCCCCAAAAGCGCGTGATTTAGTCAATAGACTATACAATCTACATCGTTATCATAATAGAGTGTGCGATATCGCTAGACATTGACGTCGCCCAGGGACGTATCTCTTATGTTTATTTTCGTAAGTCCGGGTAAACGATTTCATATTGCAGTGTCGGCTACAGTAAAGGGAGCGATAGAGAGTAGAAAATAACGGTGAAGATCCACGCATATTTGATTTGTGAAATGTTTTTCTAACTGAATCGCCTAGTATGCCCTAATTTCCTCAGTTTCCATCCGCTTGTGCTAGATGAACGTGGCTCAACTCTTTGACCCCATGAATTTTCGTTCTCCTGAACAGGAAAACATACCCCAACAGCGGATGTTCCGATAAGTGGCGTCAAATACACTTCTGTCTTTCAGAATGCAACACGTTCCTTCGTAAATTTTCCCTCTCAAACAACTGGCGTTATTGTTATTTTCGTTTTCCAAATAGAGCGCACGCAGGAAACATGCACAATGTTTTGGCAAAGAACGCTTTGAACAGAACAAACAGAAACAAACTCACCCGGTTACCTCATAGACATAAACCACACGAAACTAATGCAGATTTTCTATTACGGGTTTTCATTCGGAATATTGATTCAGCCGCCATATTTGTGTGGAGAATTGGAAACATATGGGCCAACCAAAGGTTGCTACGTTGAATGATCTCTCTATAAGAATAAATCAATGTCCCAAGTGCGGAAAGTTTTTTTCAAGTTGGAGGATCCTCTATCAGCACCGGAGATCGGTCCACCCGAAAGAAACACGTCAGCAACACGATGAGTGTGGGACGTTATTCTGTGGAAGATCTGGTTCGCATAGGCACCTCAGAACCGCACACGCGAAAGCACAGAGTCACGTTCGCGGGCAATGCAGAAAATGTTTCACTGGTCTGGGCAATTTCAGGAAACACGTGGTTGCTAAGCTCACCAAAAGGCCAGTTAAAAGATTGTCGACTTATGACAAACCCCCCGCGAATAATTCTTATACACACGAGATTTATTATACATGCCTACAAGTGGCATGATTGGCTGCTTAAACCTGACCGAATAAATGTCATACACAAAGGGTCACTTTGTCAGTTCTCAAGGGCGGGTTCTCGGAAGACAAATTCTAAATATATAGAAAGGCTAAAGACCGCTGTTTCGGATAATTTTCTGAGGCAGTTTGAACAGAATGCATCACGCGGTGTTAAATTTGATATTTGATTCTGGGAGGTTTTGTGACATGCATTTATGTACTCCATTGAAATAGGCCAAATTTGTCTGTGAAAGGATTATCGTATTCGAAAGTAGAAAACAGAAAGCTGAAAGATGATCGGTTCCAAGGAGAAAGCGCCGCGAGTTGATGCGTTAGATTGGCTTAAGTTGCTGTACAACGACCCACCAGCACACTTGATCATGAACAAACTGTGGTTTGTTGCACACGTGCAAAAGTCACCAATTGTCATCTATTTGTCATTGGTGCTCCTCGCCTATATGTTGGTTTATTCCACAAAATGTAGCTATTATTGTGTACCATTTCTAGTTGATATCAATTTCCGTCTGTCCGCACTTGTTTTCCTCCGTTGAGGCCATTCTGTGTAAAGTTTGCCCGTTCTTCTGCATAAACCTCCTGACGCACAATAGTTGTAACTGTGTTTGTTGCATCAGGGGATGCACGAACAGACATCTCGACAGTATGCAAGGCAAAGCCTCGAATTTTCACCGTAAAACCTTGACGTGATGTTCAAAGGAGAAAAGACAAATTGGACTACGTTAATCCACTGGAATGTGCTCATTGTCTAGGATATAGAGGAAATCATGTTGTTGACCGAATGTTGAGGATGCACTCAGTGCCAAAGTATGCATTCATGCGGTTTCACTGTAATTCAGGGAGTTGGATAAGCTATTTATGGGGAAGCTTATATGAGCGGTTGTAACTAAATTAAGCTATTTATGGGGAAGCTTATATGAGCGGTTGGTCACTGAATGCAACGGCTCGAAAAAGGTCGGCGACACAGTAATCAGTAGCTTTGTTGTACTGAAACTAATTCTGGTAAATCCTTTCACAGCGGCAGCCGAAACCGTGGCAGGTGATCCGAACACATCTATTTGAGGAAGTTGTGGAGACTACTTGCTCTGAATCTTTAGGGTGAAATCAGATTTCCTATTGATTATGTGAAGTTCTTACATAGATCAACATATAAAAAACCCTGCAATTTGAGTCGCCCTAGCTGGATGGTTCGCATTTCAAATTCACTCCTGTCCACATTCAGAAAAGATACTTTTTGACGATTGATGCTCCGGTGAAGAAAATAAGGGCTTAGAGGCTGCAACGTTGGAGATCGTCTACAGTACGTTATCTTGTGTTCGCGGTGTCTCTAAATAAAACTGTACTGTACACAGGCCTAGCAGCCTACCGGTGCAGACCTGTCAGGCAACCAAATGTGTGTGGTTCATTCGCTTCTCTGATGTGTGTCCCGCGTTAGCGGAAACTTGCGAAAGCCAACCGTATGGTCGCGTCAGAGAGAGTGAGCGTCCCCGGTAGCATCACCGGCAGGTAGTTTGAAAGAAAGACATGGTAGACTGACGAAGACTAAGCTCGACTTTGTTATTTAGCGGATACGTAGAGAAGATTTTTCGTTGACGAGGCGCTGACATTAGAAGGTGGATCGAAGAAGATGTGGCATTAGGGTTTCATGCTGTTTAACATTGGAACCATGCTCGTGGCTCACAAGTCACACATGTACATATGAAGCTCTCACCATCCATCTCCTATCATTAGTGATTACCCAACGTGATGTAGGTTGACTCTCGCTTCATTGTCCACCGAATTTCGCCGCCATATTTAAACTGTGGTTTCCCCCGTTATTTGGGATGGTCATTTAGGAATGAATTTAATGTCAGCCATAATTTCATGTTCAATTCAACGGTCGAGACGGGGAGGCGATACAGAGTGACACATCTGGTGGTAATGCCCCACCAACACACGAGGGTTTTATCCCCTATGCCTGCTTTCAGATCTGAGAGGTTGAAAACAACCAGGCAGTCATAAATGCGGCCTGTGTATTAACAAATTACTTCAGCTGGGGCTTACCTTTTCCGGTCGGTGGGAAATTCAGGCCAGTGAAACAGCCCAGTCAATTCGGACAGGCAAGCGCCAAACGGACGCTGGTAAAGGCAATTCGCAGGTAGGCAAGTGAAATGGAAGTTACCAATCAGCCAATGGAAGTTGAATAGTTATCTCCATGGCACTGTCAGAAGCATACATATTTTATTCGTTGACCGTAAGGCCGGCGTCATCAACCGCATCATACTCTGTTGGCGATAATAGCCAAATGTTCATTCAGGTTCTCGGGTACACTGCAAGTACGGGTTCGTAATAAACGAGTTTAGTTGCAGGCATTTCAAACCGTATTTACCGTATTTAAACTTTCCGAAATGTTGACTTTGGCCGTTGTAAAAGGTGTAACAGATCAGGTTATTTCAGATGTTGGTATCCGCGAATCAGGTCAAATTATTTGGAAATGTCAAACTTATCCACTGACAAGCGAATATGAGGACTCGCACATAAGACCGCGTGTTGATCACAAACTGGAGGTATGCTGGTGTTTCGTTCCACTATAATGAGTAAGTGGTAAGTGAGTACTCCAACCAGTTGCCACGGTGATGTTCCAAAATTTTGCATCACGCTAGTCGCACCGAAAGGGCATTTGTTGCAAAGCCATCCACTGACTCTGGACAGGCTCTTTGTTTTGTTTACTCGAAAATCACTTGAATGACCTGAATCAGTAAAATGGAATGGACGAAATGGGCTCCTGAGTGCTAATGGCGTTATAGGCAATCTCTGTTCTGGTGAGCTCTCAGTGAGAAGGCCGCCTATTTCGTGTGTACATCCTCAGTTGACCTACATTTGTGCTACTAGACGCGAAAAAATAACAGCAAAGGATTGTCGTTGCTTCCACATTTGGAACAAAAGTGCACACTAACCATCCTCTGGAAACGCGGCAGTTAGACTGGATAAGAGCCACCTCTGATCCTGCGGTGGTTGTGCAAAACTGAGGAGCAAAGTTTTCATGTCTTCAGAAGACTTCGTTGCTGTGGGCCACTGAAACACATTAACACTCCGCTTCAGGACAGAGGCCTGCGTTAGAACTGATAAAGACCTATTATGAGTAGAACATTCACTCAAGCAGCAGTGTCCTAGCATGGCTGGTTTTGAATCAGTCAGTAATCCAGATTATTTAATTTCTACATGTACGCCGAAATACGTGAAAATATTGCAAATTTTAAAACGCGTGTTTTCATCGAGGAACTTAAGGTGGCTTTCGTATTAGGCTACGCAAACGAATTTACAGAGCAGCGTCTAAGGTGGCGACTTCCACAAATGTTCGTGGACCACATATGAATACTCATCAGCTCAGTTAAGTCGTCTGTTGCATTAGGCAAACCTGCCACAGTGAACTATGTATTCCCGACCGTTCATACCGAGGAACGGGACCTGTGCTGTGAGATATTTCGCTAAATGGTTCTTTATCTCCCTGTCACGTTAGCGACCACAGTTTGACTGACATAACTCCAGTTTATGGACGAATGCGCGAACTTTTGTGAGAAAATCACGTTTACGCGGTGATACAACTGAATGGTATGGCCAAATCATCCAGTTTATGGACGAATGCGCGAACTTTTGTGAGAAAATCACGTTTACGCGGTGATACAACTGAATGGTAAAGATGGCCAAATCATGCGAGCCCTATTATTAAAACTCAGTGATGTTGTGGGCAGTTCAGTTGCAAGCTCAAGAAACCGGTGATCAGCTCGCGGCGATCGAACGGCTTTGGCTTTCAGAAGTAGTCAGGTTGCTGCAAACTTGAAACTCTTTGCAGATGCATCAGCTACATTTTCCAAAAGGATGAAACAGATACGGGGTGCTTTTTGGCTTTATGACAGTCGATTTCAACTACAAAACGGGTGTTCATGTGATTATTTACAGGTCACATCATGGTATTCAATAAATTGACTGTCGGTTGAATGGTATATTGCACATATGATTTTTATATTTGTATTCATGCAAAAACTTTACTGAAAATGATATTAATTTATTTGATTAAATTCTAAAATGCACTTGTACTCAAAATGCAATAAACAGATCGAACCGAGAATGACAGTTTCAACTGCTGATCAGCCGGAAGGAGCGAACAGACGAAGACACCAGAGAGGACCTCACGTGTATTTCGTATGCCTCATAATTCGCTTCACTGTGGGCAGCTAACAGACATCAAAATATGCACATGCACGCAAACAGTGCTTGTGGACCTCACATGCCTGCAAGAAACATCCAGAACAAGTGCCACAACCAGAGCAGAGAAAGTCCTCGTCCCGAATGGGGAACACGCTTTTCAAGCTGGGATACCTTGTTTCAGCACTGGCGATCTGTTCACCGACAGGAGCCGCGCTAGCACCGTGGCGAAGTTGGACCGGGTTCTGCCGAAAACGGAACTTTGATGGGCATGTGAAATAAGTGTACACAACGCAAGCCCCTGATACTTGCGTAAAATATGGGAAAAATACCATCAATTGGCGGTTTTGAGGGAACATGTATATTATACAAGACAAAACAAATAAAATGTGACCTACAGAAGATCGAATCCAGACTGAAGAACTCTTTACTTTCTTCGTGTGTTGTTAAAAGATGCATGTGAGGCACTTAACACCCTAAAACGTATCGCCCGTGTGGATCGTGTGAGATCTTCGGGTAGCTTAAACGGGGTGGGATCATTTGAAAATTCATTCTTGCTTTCGACCTGATTGGCGTTTAACTCTCGAGCAACCGACAAAGAGTTCGATCGTTTAACCAGTCGGCTGTGATGTAACTATCATAAATTTGTGTTTTCCCAACATTTTAGTTCAGCCAGCATATTGACGTATTTGTTCGTAGCTCAGAGTTCTTACATCACTGAGGGGTGTCACCTTCGACTATCAATGGGATTGCACATCTTCGTCATCATTACGGACCCTGGGAGGCTATGAATTGGCGCGCCAGGAAATGAAATTACAATATGATAAACTAAATGATGGTGCTATCAGGCGAGCTGGTGATGAAGATTGCTAATCTGATTAAACAGAGCACCAGATTAGATGCACAATTCCAAATCGACTTCCTGAGTACTTCTTCGATAATTTCAAAAATTGTCCTTGAAACTCGGCTAATTTGTCAGCCAGTTTGCGGTACGTGGGTTCTGTAAAGCTGCTCCTGTGAGATAATGACGGGTCCGTTCTTGCCAAGACTGATCAGCTGCACAGTTTTATATCATTCGTTAAAGTTCAACCATAAACTCTCGCGCAAACAAGTGGACTACGGTGCTGTTCTAAAATGAAATATACCGGGCAGCATGTTTGGATTTTGATAGGTGAAATGTATGGTGTTGAGAAAAGCACTTAGTAAGCCAAATCACCGTCAGAACTTCCCAAGCTATAAAGTTACATTAAATCTAATATGCTGTTGACTTTCGCAGTCGTTTGTGGAATGCGTAATTTATTGCTCCCAAAGGTCGCTACAAATGATGTCATGTGTAAACGTTGGCGTTTAATTATCCGTTTTGTGTGCCATAAAAGCTATCGTGAACGACGACTAAATTTTAGTGGATTTCTTCAGTTGGCTGCTACTTTCGCAGACAAAATCAATTATTGTCACGTGCTTACACATTTAATGTTGCGGTTACTCTACGTCAAAATTTGACCTTTTCATCTTTACCAGCAATTCGGTTCTGTGGGTGGAAATATGTGGTCCGGTTTGCACAGCAACTAGAATAACGTAATTCAATTTGCATTTTTGTCTCTTGAACATCACGTCAAGATTTCACGTTGAAAATTTGGGAGTGTGCTATATATACCTTTGAGATGCCCAGTTTTTTATCGCCCAATACGACAAGCACAATTGCAACAACTATGCATTAGAGGGTACATGCAGAATAACAGGTGCAATTTATTCAGAATGACCTGAAAACAAGGAAGGAACTACGGATGGACGACAACCGACATGAACTAGAAAAGGCTACGGACAGCAGACTTCTCGTCTGGATGTGGAGAACGACGGAATAAGTGACCGGTTGAGTGCGATGGCACGTATGAGCAAGGGTTGGAAATCTCTAAGTATGCCAGCAAAATAGCAGCCAAGCAGGATAACTGGGATACCTGTGGATGGCGTAGTAATTCCTTTGAATGAGAGGAAATTTAGCGTGCTCAAGGGACGGTTGTTTCGGATATCGACGGATAAGTTGTGGCGGATCAGAATGTCTGCGACAAGGGTGGCTGTTTGGACGTCGGCCAAAAAGAAAGCCCACTTGGACGCACGTCGCCATCCTAGGTCAGGCGTGAGGGAAAGTTTGCCGTATGTACCGTTAGCGGGTACCGTTAGCGGCTTGTAACAAACGGGAGTCATGTTCAGGAAGCGGATTCTTATGTGGTAGCACACTGCCTTCAGCTCCCGCATCTACGAGGAAAGGTAAACAACTTGGGCGATCGGTGATATGGAATCGGCGACTGATGCGAAGAGGGCGGCAGACAGGCGTAGCCATTACTGACAGGCCGGAGTGTTTAAAAGGCTGTTATGAAACGGCTTGAAGGAACAAAGCGGCTGGCATTTGCGTGCTTCGGAACCGAAACTCTGATGATACCAGCACCAAGGGAGATGGGAAAGAGACAAAGATCGGGATCGTGGACGTGGCCGATGCTGCTTGGTCCCGAGACTTTGAAGACAATCGGTCAAGGCATCAAATACAGTTTGTAACTTTGAGATTGCAGAATGTATTTTTCCGAATCTGTGGTTCTAGTGGGTGCTTGTTGGGAGACGGAGTTAAGATGGAGTTAAGTCTGACTGATGTAGGTCTCATGGATTTTGTCCGCCATTTCAGCTAACTGCTGCAGGCTGCAGTCATCGACGAAAGCACTGATGACGCAAGAAAATGAGGTTATGATTTGGAATTTGCAAACTCGCGGCCGAAGAGGACACTGTGCATATGGTAAAGCAGTTGCATTGGCGACCTGTCACCAAGATTACCGTGGTGAATAAATTTCGCAGCGCTTAGTTTTCGGCCTTTCCTCTCCTGCTGTAGACAGCCGCTCAAAGAGCGTCATCCCTCGCAGATATCTTGCTACACATCATTCAGTTTAGTTGTTACTTCACTTGGACGATGCTGGATGACATAGGAAAAGCGGGTGGCTTAAGAAGTGATACATCCGGCAGAAAAATAGCATCAACCCGGTGAAACCGGAATTTGTGATTCCGGGTAAATGATACATTCCGTTTGAATCAGCTTGGTGTGCGACTTAGCTTTTTCCAGATGTTTCTATAAACCACAATTCCGCGATTCACTTCTTCTGAACCAGGTGCGGTAAATATCGCATCTGCCAAAGAGAAGTTGACTTACTGAACTTGTAGAGATGGCCCGTAAAATACCGACCTCAAGTTAGGGATGTCTTCAAGCCCCATGGTTCAGCTTTGCGAAACGGCAATGAAAGTTAGCTGTAGCCGTTTTCTATTCCGCTCTTTGGGGACTCCTCCGCATGTGATCCACATCAAACGCGCAGTGTGCAACGACCGCACTGTAGTTTATGCGTCCCGAAATATATCTCAAGCTTCCGAGCGTTTTCTTGGTCCTGATCCTGTAAATATCAGCAAAGATCGCCAACACATTCTCTCAATAACGTATGAATGCAGCGGCCAATATTCCATTAGAAAAATTTCAGTTCATATTTTCACATACTCTTGCACATTACTATTACTAATAAATCGTACCCACGACTTTGCATACACCATCATCAATCACAATGCATGGTTTGAACCGTTAGCGGAAACAGGTGAGTTTCATACGATTACTTCCTGGAGTCTCATACTGTATCAGCTGACGTCCTATCTAAAATAGGTTTCAGAGAGGTCGCAGCACGGTGTTACGCATGCACGGGAGAATAATTTCCGTCACCTGGGTTAGGCTCTGTTGGGAGTGAAGCGTTCCACTGCTCAGTTGTTTATCAAAAAACGCCAAGTAAACGGTCACAAACCATTGGCCAGGAACGAAATATGGCAACATGTTTTCCTCAATTTTCGTGGATATTCACTGGCTATCTTGCAACCGTAATCGACCGCAGCGAGGCAGTTCTGCATGTTCCGTAATAGAGCCCATGAGAATGCACCTCCCAGCAGAAGAGAGACAAAGTTGAGAGAAAAACCCCATGCCACTCGTCTTTCCGACGCTTGTAGTTCCGAGCTCAACTAAATATGCCAACTAACTGACGCAAGTACAAAACGCTGAGATTCGAGCAGCCGAAATACTCTAATCATTGCTACTTCTACCCGTAAATACGAATTGTATGACCTATGAGAATAGCAAAGCTCAATTACCCATAACATAAGTAAGAGTTTACTGGGGCTACCTTCGCTTCCTTAGAGAAATTATGGAGGAAATGTAGCTTTATGCATGAGATCCAAAGAGTTGTTTACTTTCTGGGGCCACGTTTTGGTGTAAAAGTTCAAACACGATGGATGGTGCTCATGAAAGCCCTTTTTGGTTGGGATCATTTACTCTTAGGCAGTGGATTTGCTGCTTCGTCAGTGCAGTGTGCTCCACGTTTTCGAGAATTTGTTGTGCAGGTTAGGTGTGTACCGGTGGTGAGTTTAGTACGTCCAAAATGACGTAAATCCATGAGTCACTCTTCTGCCGTCTAATTTAGTGGAACAAATTTTTTGGCTTTATTTGACTGCGTCTTCCCAGACACCCTTAGCTTAAGATGGACGGATTGTCCAAATCAGATAAGAGGTCTGGAAAAAAGATTCTACTGGGCCTCCGCTTCTGGTGGTTACATTCCAATTTTTTAGCTGTTAAAATTTGACAAGGTCGCGTCCCGTTTTGCATGCGGAAGCAATCGCCAATAGCACTCAGATGAAGCCGCATGTCAGCAGTTTACTACGCCTTTCGAGTGTCCGTTTATTGACTCTTCCAAAACGTATGTCACACGCAAATTCACCGCTCATACCATATCGTCGAAAGGAAACAAGGTGTGATCAAAACTAATCTCCAATCAACAATATTAATCTCCATCTCGCCAAAATTTTCAAAAAGTGTTTGACTAAAGTTTTGTCACGCAGAATGCAAATGAAGCAGACCCCTTCTGTTCGCTTTAACGCGTGCTTACGCAAAGGGTTCTTCAGCAAATGGCATTCCCCCAAGCAAAACCGCATATCGAACGGTAGGAATATCGGAAGGTATGTGGATAAGCACACGATGAAAGACAGCCATAATCATATTCAAAGTAATTATCATTGGAGGAACGAAACGACAATTTAGGTAGTCTGCATAGAAACGTGGAATGAGTTCCATGGCTGAAAGTGAAATAATCTAAGTTTTAAACCTAGAAAGGACAAAAAGCGAAACCACATCACGAGAGATGGTTTATATGTCAAAATTCTTCTACTGAATGGCTGATGAAAGGAGCAGATGCTGTTTCCATTAGACAGCTCAATTTATATTTTAGAGGCAGTAAAACTTAGGACATTCAGTAGGTCAGGAGACAGTCGTGGAATTTGTCAGTCCTTTCAAGAACGCCCAACAACAAGCCCAAGAGATTGTCATTCCTATAATCACATAGAAACCAACCTGTACGAAGTTCTCAACTTGTGAACGTTAAACAACGAACCACACAAAAGATTACGCAATCAATTTTCCAATGGTCGACCATGGCCACGCATTCCTCATTATGATTGGGGGAATATTAGGCAATCGAGGTGCAGCTGTACTCTGGTCCGCTGCAGCGTGTAGGCATCCAATAAATGAACCAACAACAAATAAACTAGCAGATGTCCTTTTTTCTGATTCCCAAGGGGGACTGCAACAAATCTCAAACAAATTCTGAGCTACCGAACATAACCTTCGCACTCTCTCATAGAACACCATTCAAGCCAACCGAGACAGAACGTATGCATTCAAAGTGTGAGGTTAGGAAGCAAATGGGGTTATAAAATATGTGCTGCAACACTGGGCGCCCGAAAATCTTTTTTGCAGTTGTTTTGAAAGAATCTACCAAACGAGTCAGAAAGCTCGCGTGGAAAACGGAAACACCTCAAAGCGCTAGGAGCGCCGCCAAAATGAATGAAAAATTCTCAAGATAGTAGAGAACAAAGCAAAAAGCAAGATTATGATTACCCTGAAGAGAGTACTGTCAAACGTAGCAGAAAACCCGAAATGTTGAAAGGCAGGGTCTTGTACAAGGTTTATTAGATGGAACACTATAGGATCCAGGTCAAAATAATCTTCGAGCATTTTATACACATATTATACTGTCCATGTGCAAGGCCGCCTTTTATTTGTCTGCGTGAACGAAAGTTGATTAAGCACTGGTCACGGTGAGAATTTGCTCCATGCTAGAGCTGGTAGCAACAGAGGAAGATGATGAATTTATTGAAACACTGTGCTCTATATTTGACGGCATCGACAAAAAATAATATTTGCCCGGGCAACCACCTAATAAAAACATAGAACCACAAAATCGCCAAAGCTCAGAATTGCACAAGAAATCAACGAGGAAATGTGACGAGAGAATGCAGAAGCCTGAATCTAGTGACCAGATGCCTTTGCCCCATATAAGTGGTGATTCGGAAATGAGACAACCCTTCTCCGGTTTTATCCGTTCGTACTTGGAAGGTGAACGGTTGCTGCCTCCGGAAATGCAGCAGTTTTGGCCACTTAATGGCACATTCGTGTTTGCACCTTAGAGGAGTCTTTGGGCGTGAGCATCTTTTACCTGCATCGAACCTAAATTTGGTGCTGAATGTTTTAACGTTACAGTCACATTACTGAAAAAACCCTGCCGTTCCACACTACCATCATTCAGGCTCTCGAGGCCAGACCGCAGTGGTGCTCGAAAGGGTTGGATGGGAATTTGCCGATGCTTGAGCCTGATCCGTTTTTACTACTTCCTTACGAGTATATAGGCGTTACTACACATATAGGACCTGGAAGCGCACCGAAGACCGCATTTGTGTGTACACATCCAGGAATGGTCAGCGCGACGGCGCAAAATGTTCCCTTGTACATGAGGGAGGAATTGAAATGCGCAAATCTGCGTAGCCGATCAAACAGTGTTCTTTAGGCTGCCTAAGTGGGAACAACCCATTTGGTAGGCTCACCTAGGAGGTATACACACAGTATTTTCGACGGATTATTAAAATGAGGATAATTGCAGGCAGGATTAATCCACGTCAGATTTGTCTACGGACTTAACGTCATGGTGGTGTGCAATTAAAACACTGCTATTTGGATGAGGGAGTTGGCCAACATGAGTCCACGTTTTCGCGCTGCAATCAATATTGAGATTGACTGCGCATCCAGTAGTACGAGGAAACAAAAAAAGACACGTTTCTGAGATGGCGTCACCCCTTAGTCACTCAGCCCTCACTTCAAAACCAAGGAATTCGGGCGAAGGCAACCTGGCGAGTTGAAAAGGCACACGCTACATTGTTCTATTACAAAAGTTCCGAGGAACGAGTCGCCGAGGGCGGGAAATAAAAACTGCTTGATGTTTCAATTACGCAATGCAAATTCAATGAACGTTTTGTTCAGCCTTAATTGCTTGAAATGACGTTTTGAAGTTATGATTTCTCTATGCAGTAATAAGGAAAATCTGCAAAAGTGTGACCACAGACTGGATTACTTTTTCGACGTGCCTATTGGGCCATGAATGCTGGAAGATCTGACACAAACGCACATTTAAGCCACGGTTGATTGCGGATTACCCAATATTCCGGGTTTTCGCAGGTAAACACGTCTGATCACATCCAGTCATGTGCTGTTCTTATTGGACCAATGGCAATGCCAAGTATCATGGTGGACAGAGTAGGCTGGTTTCGAAATGTTAAGCCAGAATACCTGAAGGGAAAGTGCAAACACAACTAAGATTATTTTTTTCCTTTCTCAATCATCCAGAATTCGGTTCAATAACATCCACCCAAAACAAGGAATTAATATCACCGAATGGACGTCAAAATTCGTCGACCGAAAAGAGGAAGTTATATCAGGTGCACAAATGTGTAATAAATTCCGTTCATGATACTCAATGAGTCTATTTGTCATCAAGAGGTCGTCTTGCCTTTCGGAGGTTTGTTGTGCATATTTCCAAGGTGTTTCATAAGATTATCCAAGCGGGAAAACCTCATTCCGCATTCTTTACAGGTGTGTTGATAGTTGTTTCCATGCACGGATGTCACATGCCGAAATAAATTCGATCTTTGACTAAATAGCGCCCCACACTCCTCGCATTGTTGGCGAGCTCGCTTGCTGTGAACTGACTGTCGATGCTGAAACAAAGTCTTCCACGTAGAATAGCATTTTCCACATTCAGGACAGGGATTTCCCCTTTCTTCTGATTCTTGTATCAATGTACTTGATGTTCTCGCGCGAAGGTCAGCTCCATCGGAGTGAAGTTTTCTTGCGTGTGCCTGAAAATATCGACCACTCTTGAAAACTTTTTCGCATAGGTTGCAGTAGAAATTAGCGGTTTTTGAGTGCACCCATTGATGTCTCTCAGCCGCCGACAAGTATGGAAATGATTTACCGCACACGACACATTGATAACGTCCATCATCTTTTTCTAGTATGCATGGTTCAGATGGTGGATTAGCATTGGAACAGTTATCCTCCTCAAATTCTGCTACCTGTGCACCGGGCAAACTTGCTGCTTAAGGAAGAAACGTACAGAAAAGAATTTCAGCCTCATCATACTCAATTAGCAATTATTGTCTTTAAGTTCATTGAACGAACAAAATATGAGTTGTCAATTTCTACTTTTGGAAAAGGACTTGAAATCGCCAATCGATCACTTGTGTGAAAGTTAAACCTACCAAATTCAGAGAAGTACAACAATTCCACCCTCGAAAAGGATTTGTAGCACTGCGCGTGAAAAAGTTTCCAGCGAGATCTAAAATCGCAACTTTGCGATTAGCCATGTATGACAGTTGGTCACCGCGAGCTGTTGACCAGCTCTTTATGTAAGTTCCGATTGAAGCATGTATATTTACAATCCCTAAGCATGTGGGCGACCCTCTTGTCTGGGCTACTTTCACAGTGGGCGCCTGACTACTACAATTCACGTGCGTCAATTATGAGGATTTAATCTCCCTGACATCTTTATTGCTTGTAGTTCTCGAAGAATTTAGCTAGGCGTTTCAGGCTATACCTTCGATCTGCAGGTTGAGCCGTAGATCTCCAACTTCTTCTGTATCTGGAAACTTGCACTGAAACTTGGGTCGTTCGTCATCATTCTGCTGAGTTTGGAATGGCTTATGTTTTAAGTTGAAAAACGCAAGGCGAATTGAAGCAACTCACACATCCACACATCAGGAATATTTCGGAAATGACTACGCGGTTGCAACCTAACCGAGTTTCGCAAACCTAAAAACAAGACCGAAGGACCCAAAAGGAAGATGGGGATCAAACATGTATAAAGGATTCAGCGCGAGGGTTCTGGTCAACATTATGTGCGACAAACAGGTAACGATCTCTATAACCGAATGGACGAACTGAAGGTTTTAGAAGTAAACAACCAACAATATTCACTCAGCACCGTGAAGATGTCCAAATTGGTCACAGATTTGACGACAGCGAATTACACATCCCGGCTCATGCGAGAACGGAGTGAGAAGCTAAATTCACAGAAGCATGGCACTCCATTGTGAAAGCAATCCACAAACACATCGAGACAGGCCTAATCAGCTGGACACTGCAAACGAAATAACCGCAGAATTACAGCATACACAGTTGCATATCAAGTCTCACGAAACAGGTACACAATTGGTACACAAACCAAATTAAAACCTGATCACCCAATTTTGTTGTTATGGGTCGCGCAATGGGATTTCGTTTGCCTAAAAATACGTAACAGCTAAGCCATTGATTCCAGTGAAAGCCTGGAGAACACAACTTTTGAAACGCAGTTATTTTTGGTTCATTGCAACTGATACACATAGCATGAATTACACGTTCCCAATTCACTCACTCCAGTCTACACCCAGGTCCAATGTGCACAACGTAACCGCCCGTCAAACTCGACCAGCAAGCAGTAAAAGCACCCCGCCTGGAAACACGACAGCAGGCTGTATAATAATTTCGATGCGTGCTTACGCATAGTTCCCCGTAACCGCCCGTCAAACTCGACCAGCAAATAGTAAAAGCACCTCGCCTGAAAACACGACAGCAGGCTGTATAGTAATTTCGATACGTGTTTACGCATAGTTTACGCTTGAGCGTGAGGTAATCATGGCGCAGTTAGGCACCTCGTGTTCTTCAGCTCATAGCCGAGAATTCGCATGTTGAAATCCCCAGGATATAATGTTGAGTGTTCAGGTTCGAGGACCCCCAATAAGCATGGAACGGGCGTGCGATACCTTCAGGCCGGAAGCACTCATTGATTTCCTTGAGACGACGAAAACTCAGCAAATTTTTTAACCATTTCATAGTATGCCTATCTTAGAATTAACTGAGTACGATTTGGAGGTCTTACAGAGTGAAAATCGATCGGCGCACAAACCAACAAGACGGCAGAATTTTCAGCTCAGGGCTTCAGAATGAGCATCATGATCAATTTTAACTGTCTGCTATTGTGAGCTCTTCTGTAGTATTTCTGTTATACTGTATATGGGAGGATTTTGTACAATTTACGAAAAGAAATAACAGACCAATCATCGTTTCAGCCGACTCACTGTGGTAAAAAGAAAGTGGTTCCTGGGGACTGAGTTATTAGTGCATAAAAGTTTCAGAGGAATAACGCAACCAGTCTTCGAAATCGATAGGCATTGAGAGAAACAACAGCGACTCACATAAGGGGGCGTACTCCATAAACAGGGCGCTCAATTGGGTAACTGGAACAAATGGTAGAAGGAGTAGTGTGAAACAGCGCCAACTTCGAATTATTTGGCTGGATATGCTGCTGCCTGTAGCGCAAGTCCTGATTGCGGAATACCTTACGAAACTTTCCATGTTTATTATTTAGCTTTTCTCAACTAGACTAGCTTATTTTTAGCGATTCTGCCATGGACGTTCGTCTCCACGCTCCAAATATGAGTATTTTTTACGGAGAATAATTACGAAGCTGTCAGCGGCGAATATAATTAGACGACATGATAATATCAACATTCTCCTAAATACCCCAATGTACTTATCATCTTCACCAGCTTTACTCGTCTATACCCACGACTAACAGAGCCGTCAAATCCGTCCTCAGCAACACTGTCGCATAATCGTCAGTGTGTTAATATGCGGAGCAGACATCCCACCTTACCAATGTGCGGTCATTATCCGTTCGTTGAGACTATGCCGACTGATTCCGCCAAGAATTTTGTGCTATCCGATCACCAGACAGGATGGCTGGATTGTTCTGTGAAGGGGACAACCAAAACCCACATTCCGGAACCAACACTCCGAATGCCCTTCTTTGTGCACTGTTTGGTGACGGATGTGTGCTTTTGTCAACCCTGCAAACGTGGCGGATTGAGGATAGTTGTTTCACTTTGCTACCACTATGTGATTAGTACCGTAGAAACTGGAAGACAATTCAACATTCTGGTGGTCGGGGCCATCACAATTACTTGTATCCCGAAGATCTGTATCGGACATCGCAACAATCGGTCAGCTTACTACACCCGTGAATACCATGGTGTGTTATGTGATCAAGTCACGGATTTACAGTAGCCAGCAATAAATGTCTACAGACAGAACAATATCTTTCGGCAGAGTAATCGGAGCTGGGAGAATTTATTAATTGTATATGTAATGCAAATTCCCCATTTTATCCTCGAGGGTGGTCCGTTGAATGTGATGATTGATCAAAGCAAAATGCTTGAAAATGATAAAAGTGTTTAATCGCGAAGTATTTTGAAGTGCGAGATTTGGATCCGCCCGTGTCATCTGTTTTCAACACTTCGTTTTAAGCACTGCGACCTGCGTTGCCTCATGCAGGCCCAATTCGGTATGCGTAGCAAATTTGACGGAAACCTTGACCTGAAAACCTTGACCTGAAGCGTTTTGGGAAGTACGGCCTCGTCTGGAGGGCATGGATTCAGGGCGCATCCTGCCGATCTAAGTGACTTCCGGCAGTGGTTGCGCGAAACAGGCAACTATACATTTGAATAGGCCCCGATGTCCGATTTCACTGGCCACGTATCGCAGCCTCAATGAGTGAATTTCGCGTGCCGGCATTTGTACGCAATTTTGAATTAAGGTAGGAATTCAGCTTAGAGGATTAGCGGGATCAACTTCGTGTTCCTCGTTGGTCAATGTACTTACGCACGGGTTCTGCAGAATAACCATTCAATCTAAGCGTGAAATGTTAATTTATTAGATTATCGCTACATGGCGCAACCTTTTGGAGCAGCCACGGACAAATCTCGTTTCGTGCCAGCAACAAAGATACAAATGTGGAAGGATGCCGCGACATAATTACTAGCGTTAGCTGTACGCACTTGCTACACATATCAGCGAATTTGGCTCAACGGCTTGGATTGACGGCATGGTGGAGCTTTAAAACTGCAAATTTTCTTGGAAGGAACAATAAAACTCACGACGATTTTCGGCCCTCAGCATAGTCAGCATAAACATCAGTGTTATAGGCAAGCAAATAATACCCATGGAAGTGACTTCCTCGTGTGCCCACCAGCCGTTGCTGCCTGTTTTATAGGTTTGATCATGATTGTCATGTGTAGAGTCGTGTAATCTGGATTCGCTGATCAGAACTGTTAATATCGCTATGTCTGCTGAAAAATTCCAACCTACCGCACGTTAGCTTATCAGCATCGGTAGATTGCCAACTCTTTGATGTTCTTTTGTCGGATTACCGTGGTACCGACGGAAAAGTAGCATGAATCAGAGAAAGCTAATTAGAATCGTGAATCTGATTAACTTTATTCAGGACAAGACACCTTCTTTCAAGATGCTAATGAACAGCATTATGTGTGGTCTGCGTACAATGCATGTCTCAGACAACATATGCAAAAAGGCAGAAGGGTTCTACTTACTTAGTATTATCGACGCACTTTCGAACTTTTCCAATGCGTACAATGCATGTCTCAGACAACATATGCAAAAAGGCAGAAGGGTTCTACTTACTTAGTATTATCGACGCACTTTCGAACTTTTAAGATAAATGGTCATTGATTCAACATGGTACCAGGTTGCTGAGTGACCCCTGGATTTCTTCCTTATTCGGCAAACCTGTAAGACTTATAGCGTCTTTGTCTCCTTCAGTTGATGCAACCATCTGCTAAGCTTCTGCTCCCATTGAAGAAACTTCCTTTTGCCACAACTGAATTTTTACAAAGTCATTGCAGGTCCCAGTTAACCAACGACCAAACAGCCAAAAGTTACAAATGTTTAGGTCATATACGCGTGATCACGAATACGTCTGCATTTTTTTATTTGGTGACCTCATGTCCAACACATCTGCGTAAGGACGAGGGAGCCGGTTGATTTGTAATTTGGGTAGGCTCACAGCAACTACTTCAGAAATCCTAATGATATCATACTAATCTTCCCACACTGTTCCTCATAGTGGGGAACCACAAACCGAACATCGTTATACAAGTTATCTTGCTTTCCTTTCGAGTTATCCGACACAAACTCAAAATCTAAAAGGCCTACGATTATGGACGGACGCTGTTTCTTCACTACTGTAGCACGCAACAT